GCGTCCCTTTTCAGCTGGAAGTAGCTAAGAGAATACGCCATCCCCTTTTCCTTATGACTCAGGGTGAAGTCTCTCTCAGGGAGGAGTGATAGGGAACGGCAAAGGACACACTGACAAAGAAGATTAATCAGAACTGGCTTTGACAAACACTGTGGCATTTGGACAAGAACAAATTGGGAGGAGGGTAGAGAGAATAGTGCAGCGGTGAATGAATGGAAACCCAAAATCTCTGTAAATGTTTATGAAAATTAATAAAATATAATTACAGGGAAAAAAACTAAAACCATAAAAAAAAAATGCAGTTTTACAGGGAGCTCTGGTGGCCTAATGGCAAGAAGCTGCACTGCAATCCCAGAGGTATATTGTTCGAATCCACCAGATGCTCTGCTGGAGAAGGAGGGACAATCTCCTCTTGTACCAGTGAAATCTGATTTGATGGTACAGACACACAAAATAGTAAAATAAAAATAAAAAAGCCCACACCTTTAGATCCCCAGTGGAGGGTAGCTATGAGTTGGAACCAACTTGAGGGCAGTGGGTTTTTGAGAAATAAGCTAGAGAGAATATAGAGATTAATTGGATGGTCTTCCCTTCAGGGAATTGGTTTTTGTTTGTAAGAAATTTTAATGAAAGTTTACAGAGACTTAGGGTTTCCGGTCATTTATTGTTGTACTTTTCTCCTTGTCCACCCCCTCCCCCCAATTCACTCTTCTCCTTGAAAAGAAAAATGAAAACTCTCACTGTTGCACAGTCCTTCCCCCCACGTCCACTGCACTGTGTAGCCTTCATTCTGGACTCCTGTCATAACAATAATACCCATTCATATCTCCCTTTTAAACAGTTCTCTCCCTCATTTGTTTCAATGTAGTATACATCATTCTTCTACTCCTTCTCTGCCTTCCCTCAACCCTGATGTCAGTCCAGTTTTACAACAGTGGCCCTATACAGTATTTGTCCTTTTGTAACTGAGATAGTTCACTCAGCATAATGTCCTCCAGGATAATCCATTTTGCATAATATTTCATAAGTTCCTTGTTTTTTAATGCTGCATAGTATTTCATTATGTGAATATACCAGAGCTGCTCTATCCATTTGTTTGTTGATGGGCACTTGGGTTGTTTCCAGCTCTTTGCTATTGTGAACAAAGCTGCAGTAAACAAGGGTATGCATAATCTGTTTGGGTGGCATTTATGGTTTCTTTAAGGTAAACTCCCAGCAGTGGAATTGCTGGGTCAAATGTTATTTCTATTTGCAACTTTTTGAGAAAGTGCCATAGTGGTTGCACCAATTTACACTACCACCAGCAGTGAATAAGGGTTCCAGTTTCTCCACAACCTTGCCAGCATTTGATGTTTGCTGTTCTGTTAAATTTTGCTATTCTTACAGGGGTGAGATGATATCTCATAGTTTTAATTTGCATCTCTCTTAGAGCTAGAGATTTTTAACATTTCTTCATGTGCTTGTTGGCCATCTGAATGTCTTCTTTGATGTAGTGTCTGTTCATATCCTGTGCCCACTTTTTCAATTGGGTTATTTACCTTTATCTTGTTGGTGGTGAGCTTCAGGGAATTTATAACTGTCATATTTGTGCACAACCAGCAAATTTCTTGGTGGGGAGTATTGAATAGACCATGGACTGTGAAAACACTGAACAGCTCTAAATTGGAAGAAGTGCAGCCAGGGTACTTTTTTCTTTATAAAAAAATTTATTAATTTTAATGAGCATTTACAGATATTTTGGATTTCCATTCATTCATTGTTGCACTTTTCTCCCTTCCCAGCCCTCCCCTCCCCAGTTCACTCCTCTCTCTGAAAAGTAAAAGAAAAATTCTTTCATTAGTATACAATCCCCTTGCACCCCTCCTCCCACCCCGAGTACATTCCACTATGCAACATTAATTCTGGACTTTTATGATAACCATAATACCCTATCATATATCGCTTTTAAATTGTTTTCTCCCTCATCTGTTTCGATGCAATATACATAACTTACCCAGTTTTTCTCAGTCTTACCCCAACCCTGATGTCAGTCCTGTTTTACAACAGTGGCCCTATGCAGTATTTGTCCT